AAATATATATGCAAATATATGACATATATGTCGCCGAGAACCGTACGGTACCTCCGATTCTTGCGGGTGTCTCTTCGGAGGCATCGGAGGCGGCGGCGTGCCCGGCGTGTCGAGGGAACCGGCGGCGGCGACGGCGTCGTTGTTGTTGTCGCTAAGCAGCGACGAGAAGCCTGTGAGGGAAGAAGAAGGAGAAGAAGGAGGAGGAGAGCGTGACACCTGATTGGTGGATGAGATTGAGTTCAAAAGTGGGTGGAGGGGTAGGGAGGGAGGAGAGGGAGGGGGAGAGGAAGGAAGGAAGTGGGGGGGGTGGAGTACGCACTGGAGCTGCGGGGGGTGTGAGGAGAAGCGGGCAGCGGGCTGAGCTGGGCAGTAACCCCCTGAAAGAGGGAGAGGGTGAGGCGACGGTCGCCCAGCTGCAGGCTCTTGGGTCTGGGCTGCTTCTCTGGAGGAACCTGGAGGGAAGAAAAAAAAAAAAAAATCGGTACCGGACACAGAGTGAGGGGAGAATCGGTACTAAGCCGGAGTGAGGGTAGAAATAGTACTAGATCGGACTGAGGGTAGAATCGGTACTAGGCCGGAGTGAGGGTGGAATCGGTACCAGATCGGAGTGAGGGTAGAATCGGTACTAAGCCGGAGTGAGGGTAGGAATCTGTACCAGATCGGAGTGAGGGTAGAATCGGGACTAAGCCGGAGTGAGGGTAGAAATAGTACTAGATCGGACTGAGGGTAGAATCGGTACTAGGCCGGGGTGAGGGTGGAATCGGTACCAGAGCGGGGGGAGGGGAGAATCGGTACTAAGCCGGAGTGAGGGTAAAAATAGTACTAGATTGGACTGAGGGTAGAATCGGTACTAGACCAGAGTGAGGGTAGAATCGGTACTAAGCAGGAGTGAGGGTAGAAATAGTACTAGATCGGACTGAGGGTAGAATCGGTACTAGACCATAATGAGGGTAGAATCGGTACCAGCCTGGAGCCTGTACCTCGTCAGTGTCCGACTGCCGCTCCAGCAACACCTGGGATTTGCTCACACTCCACTCCTTCCTGTTTTTTCGGCCAATCCTGTTGTCGTCCTCAGAGCGCGACAGAACTGACGTCCTGCGGTCGCTGGGGCGAGACAACAAGGAACTGAGGAACCAAGAGGAAACAGGGACAAATATAAACACATATATATGTACATGTACTTATATACACATATGTACATATCGGTTCTCTAATCGGTTCTCCAATCGGTATGTGTACACATGTATGTGTACACATATATACATATATGTGTACACATATATTCACATACATAAATATATGGGTACATATATAATCACATATATGTACATATATGTATTCGCATATATACATATATGTGTATAAACATACACATATGTATATGTGTATACATATATATGTAAGATACACAAATATATATGAACATATACAGTACATATTTGTACATATGCATACATATATAGATGCACACATATATATACACATATATACTGTGAGAACAGAGCCGACATCGTTGGCATCGACAGTTCTGAAGGTTCTCCAACCGGTTCTCTAATCGGTTTTCTAATCGGTTCTCCAATCAGTTCTCTAATCGGTACTCCAATCGGTTCTCCAATCGGTTCTCTAATCGGTACTCTAATCGGTTCTCCAATCGGTTCTCTAATAGGTACTCTAATCGGTACTCCAATCAGTTCTCCAATCGGTACTCCAATCGGTA